GGGGGACGCGTCTGGCACTGCAGGATTTGAGTCCCTGGCGGCGTAGTGTGTTACTGATGGTAGGCTTTGTTACTTTGGTCCCAGCTCTCTGCAGGACATTCACTAGGTCCCCCCGTGTGGTTCTGGGATTTTTGCTCACCGTTCTTGTGATCATTTTGACCCCACGGGGTGAGATCTTGCGTGGAGCCCCAGATCGAGGGAGATTATCAGTGGTCATGTATGTCTTCCATTTCCTAATAATTGCTCCCACAGTTGATTTCTTAAAACCAAGCTGCTTACCTATTGCAGATTCAGTCTTCCCAGCCTGGTGCAGGTCTACAATTTTGTTTCTGGTGTCCTTTGACAGCTCTTTGGTCTTGGCCATAGTGGAGTTTGGAGTGTGACTGTTTGAGGTTGTGGACAGGTGCCATTAATACAGGTAACGAGTGGAGGACAGAGGAGCCTCTTAAAAAAGAAGTTACAGGTCTGTGAGAGCCAGAAATCTTGCTTTTTGTAGGTGACCAAATACTTATTTTCCACCATAATTTGCAAATAAATTCATAAAAAATCCTCCAATGTGATTTTCTGGATTTTTTTCCTCAATTTGTCTGTTATAGTTGACATGTACCTATGATGAAAATTACAGGCCTCTCTCATCTTTTTAAGTGGGAGAACATGCACAATTAGTGGCTGACTAAATACTTTTTTTCCCCACTGTATTGTTAGGATTACATTCTTTGTCATGAATCTGCAATACGGTTATAACACATTTTTTGAAATTGTGTGATGAAAATAAATTACCTGATGATATGTGCTTATTTCTGTATTGGATTAAACACCAGACACACTCTTAACTTCCCATGCCTCTTACACACAGTAAATCAAATCAAAGTTTATTTGTCGCATACACAGATTAGGATATGTTAAAGCAGGTGCAGCAAAATGCTTGTGTTTCTAGCTCCAGCAGTGCAGTCTTACAGTACAATACATGTCTTACAGTACAATACACAGAACAAGCAATGTCAGAGACCAGACTATAAATATGTGGTGTGTATAGACAGTATGGGAAATATATAAGTAGGAAGAAGGTATGTACAGTAGTAGTATAGGATGAGCTATGTTGTGAATACTTTATGTACATAGAAAGTGAGTAATCAATTAGCTTAATTTCTCAGAGATCAAATAACATGTCAACTAAATAATGTTGCAGGAATGCCAATCTTATCTGTTTCTAACTACACTGAACAAAAATATAAACGTAACATGTAAAGTATTGGTCCCATGTTTCATGAGTTGAAATAAAAGTTCCCAGAAATGTTACGCACAAAAATCGTATTTCTTTCAAATGTTGTGCAGAAATGTGTTTACATCCCTGTTAGTGAGCAATTCTCCTTTGCCAAGATAATTAATCCACCTGACAGGTGTGGCATATCAAGAAGCTGATTAAACAGCATGATCATTACACAGGTGCACCCTGTGCTGGGGGACAATAAAAGGCCACTCTAAAATGTGCAGATTGTCACACAACACAAAGCCATAGATGCCTCAAGTTTTGAGGGAGTGCGCAATTGGCATGCTGACTGCAGGAATGTCCACCAGAGCTTTTGCCAGAGAATTGAATGTTCATTTCTCGACCATAATGTCGTTTTAGAGAATTTGGCAGTACGTCCAACCGGCCTCACAACCGCAGACCACGTGTAACCACGCCAGCCCAGGACCTCCACATCCAGCTTCTTCACATGCGGGATCGTCTGACACCAGCCACCCGATGAAATTGTGGGTTTGCACAACAGAGGAATCTCTGCACAAACTGTCAGAAACCATCTCAGGGAAGCTCATCTGCGTGCTCGTCGTCCTCACCAGGGTCTTGACCTGACTGCAGTTCGGCGTTGTAACCGACTTCAGTGGGCAAAAGCTCACCTTCGATGGCCACTGGCATGCTGGATAAGTGTGCTCATCAAGGCTGAATCCCGGTTTCAACTGTACCGGGCAGATGGCAGACAGCGTGTATGGCGTTGTGTGCAGGGAGCGGTTTGTTGATGTCAACGTTGTGAACAGAGTGCCCCATGGTGGCCGTGGGGTTATGGTATGGGCAGGCATAAGCTAAGGACAACGAACACAATTAGATTTTATCGATGGCAATTTGAATGCACAGAGATACTGTGATGAGAACTTGAGGCCCATTGTCGTACCATTCATGTTTCAGCATTATAATACACTGCCCCATGTTGCAAGGATCTGTACACAATTCCTGGAAGCTGAAAATATCCCAGTTCTTCCATGGCCTGCATACTCACCAGACTTGTCACCCATTGAGCATGTTTGGGATGTTCTGCATTGACGTGTACAACAGCATATTCCAGTTCTCGCCAATATCCAGCAACTTTGCACAGCCATTAAAGAGGAGTGGAAATACATTCCACAGGCCACAATCAACAGCCTGATCAACTCTATGCGAAGGAGATGTGTCGTGCTGCATTATGGAAATGGTGGTAACCAGATACTGGCTGGTTTTCTGATCCCACAGCCCTACCTATTTTGTAAGGTATGTGTGACCATCAGATGCATATTTGTATTCCCAGTCATGTGAAATCCATAGATTAGGGCCTAATTAATTTATTTCAGTTGACCGATTTCCTTATATGAACTGTAAATCAGTAAAATCTTTGAATTTGTTTCATGTTGCGTTTTAATATTTTTGTTCTGTGTACATAAACGATTTTAACAATAAACATTATTAAAGTGACCAGGGTTCAATGACTATGTACATGGGGCAGCAGTCTCTAAGATGCAGTGTAGAGTACCGGGTGGTAGTCGGCTAGTGACTTTGTAAGGTGCAGGGCAGGGTACCGGGCGGAGGCCGGTTAGTGATGACTGTTCAAAAGTCTGAAGCCTGGAGATAGAAGCTGTTTTCAGTCTCTCATTCCCAGCTTTAATGCAACTCTATTGTTCTCTTGCTAGATGGTAGCATGGTGAACAACCCAGTAACCAACCAATGCATGTAAAATATAATACAATTAGATATGAATACTTTTTTATATTACTCCAAAAAATGTTTGACCTTATATAAATATTGGGAACTGTAATCGTGTTATACAGTATGCCTTGTTAGGATTAAACAGTCGTTGTTTTATGAGAACAATAGCAGGCTTAACATCCACATTTTAATGGGATGAAAATTTCTGCAAGAAAGCTCTTTAAAAATTATCCATCTGTTCATTGCTCACATGCCAGAGCTCACATGGATAGCTCGTAGCACTGTCTTGCTTATGCAAATATGTTTTGCCTGGAAATCTATTTGAAGTTGCTCGAAGGAATCCAGAACGGGCCTCCTTCTGTCTCCCCCACCGGCTCTGCGGGCCTCCATTGCGCCATCTATCTCCTCTCGTGTGGAAGACATTTCACCAGCTCACACACGCAGGGACGAGCCGCATGCGCCACAACACGCCGCCTCAGACGGCCCTACCATGGGCGATTATGCAGATCTCACAGGCCGCCGCTGCTGGCTCTCTCTGGCTCTGTGAGCATGACAAGGCGCCCCACAACTGTTTGCTCAGTTGTATAATACAAGCTATAGACCCTATTCAGAGGACAAAGAGTAAATAATTTAAGGCCTACTTTTTTATTAGAGTTGGCCATAAAGAGGTGAAATAGGCTCTACAAGCAATGTTTAGGGGTTGTAGGTGAACCTAACTTTTAGGTAAAAGGTCAAATATGTGACAATTTTTTAACATCAATTTGTGAAGTTTTTTGGTGACAAACTAACGGGATGAGACCAGGTTGTACATAATCCTATAAAATAATGTTTTAAACAAATATGCTGATAGTTGATTGTGTATAAAGGGTTTTAATTAGTAAAATAAAATAAAAATAGTGCCTCGATATCGAACAAAAAAACTAAAGGTTGACATTTAACATGCCATAAACCTAATGAAATATAATGATTTGTTCAGAAATATTCCAAAAATATTCTTAAATCACTCATCTCTACTACAATATGGGATGCATTTATAGTTAATTCATAGTGCATCCGATCTAAAAAATAATAATAATTAAAAAAAAAACTTTACTTAACTTAAAAGTGAACCTTCCATAAGTAGAAGTAAAGATGATATGGTGGTATGGGTAGGGGGTGTAGTGTTATGGGGGTCGGTGTGTGTGTGTGTGTGTGTGTATAGGCTGGAAGACAGCTAGCACTCCTCTTGGGCAGGGATGCGATTGGAGAAAAAGGAGGAGAGGAGAAAGAGAGCCATGTGGTTGGAACCAGAGGGCTGAGGAGCCTGCCTGGGCAGATGGTCCACAAAGGTGTTACCACACAGTGAGCGGGCAGCGCGATTGATGCATTGCAACATTCAAGAAGGTGGAACATTTGGCTGCTGACCCGCAGTCAGAACTCATTCGCCTTCCCTTCCTCCTTATTTAGCTGCTGCTTCGAGAAAGCCGACGGGACTTTGGGTCCAAATAAGCACACACACACACACACACACACACACACACATTCGGAACGCTGCACTTTCCCACCCTCTGGGGAGCCTAGGCTGTGTGTTCACTGAAAACTTCTCATGTTCATAGTGAACAACAAGCATACTACTACAGTGCATGGTGGCTACTAAGTCTGCACAGGGACTTCAGGAGACATGCTTTCTCTCAGTGGTCAACGTTACCAGGACTTTACCCTATACTACATTATTGTCACGTGAACAAAAGTCTATACTGTTTCTGTGGTGTTGTTCCTTTTGAGTTAGAACATCATTCACAACGTATAGGCTAATAAACATGTACATATGTACAATTTCATTTTGGAACAACAATTTAAAAGAAGAATACAAGTTAAAACAATGGAATAAAATATACCAACAAAATGTGACCTTGTGAAGGTCTCACCAGCATTATAGGTAGGCTATAATGCAAATAGGATGCTCAAAAAGTTCAATGACCTATTTTCTCTTAAACAACACATACTTTTAGTGATGCACATGCCAGCATTTAATTTCAGACCCAAAAGCATTCTTACATCAGTTTAAACATAGACACTTTATGAGGGAGTGTGCTAACCAAAGGCAACATTATGGCAATGGTTAAATATCGCACAGTTAAATTATTAAGTATAAAAATAATGAATCGTCCTTCTCTTTTATGCTTTCATTCACACCCTTTCACGCTCACTTGTTCGCTCATCCTGTTTTCCATAAAGAATTGTAAAAATAGGGTAACACTATTGTTAATTTTTAAGAATAAAATCAATATCAAAGAATTAAAAGGACATGCTTGATTTTAACATTGCAGCTCTAATGTAAAACAGATTCAATTAAGCCATTAGTGGGAACAAAAGCAATTGAAATCTTGAGCATAAGAATGTCACACCATTTGTGTGTTTGTGTGAGGGGACACACACAAACACACTCTAACACACACATCATCTTTTAGTTGTAATGTTTGTATAATTATTTTGTTGTATTGTTTGTATATCGTTGTATTATACATTTGTGGGACTGTCCTTGTGTATCAGTGCTTTGTTACTTGTCATGTTGTGTTTTTTTGTGGACCCCAGGAAGAGTAGCTGCTGCATTTTCAAAAGCTAATCGGGATCCAAATAAACAAATATGTAATGTCTTATTCGTTGCTCACTGAATAAAGACTAGCATATACTGCCACCATGTGGTTAATTCGGGTACATCAACAATAAATTCCATTGAAATTAGTGCTCACCAGCCACGTGACAAATGTATAAAGCCCTAGGAGCCTGGCATACAAGGCCACATAAAAAAGAAAATCATGCTGAGAGCAACAAATACATAAGCTCTGTAACTAAATAACAGCTTAATTTTCATACTGTACGTAAATTGTACTGAACATTTATGATAATTAGCAGGTTGCAAGAGGCGACCAATAAACTTCTACTGTGAAATAATAGTTACCACATTTTCACATCTTGTTCCATAAGTTAACATAATGACTGCAATGCTTATAAAATATGGTTAATCTCACCATCCATGCAGTAGGTGAATGGACATACTGTATCCATCCTATGAATAGTGAATTTCTAAAGAATAATTGTGTTGAAAGAGGGTAGTGCTATACATGTGCCTGCCTGGTGAAGGATCTTTAGGAATCAACTGGTTTTGATCTGCATAGACTATTTAATGCTCACAAAATGTAAGTCGATAATTTCTTATGAACCACTGATATTTTGTGAGTGAGCATAGTTCATTGACTACATAAGGTGTGAAGGTGACTAAATCTAGAAGACCAAACTAAACAAAAAGGTAATTAGAAGTCCGGCACAGACACACAAATGGATCACATCCACATTTGTTCGCGATTCCACTCCGAGTCAGTCATCATCCACCACCATCACATTCCCGTTCAGCTGGTACTCAATGGTGGCCCAGTCAAAGATGTTTCCCTTGGTTATCTTATGTCCGTAATGCAGGGCTTGGATCTGTCTCCTCGGCAAGACATAGTCCCACATGTTGAGGTCGGTCACCTCCCCCACAAAGCTCTGCAAAGCCTCCAGGTCTCCAAGGTGTTTGTCCGCATCTTGCCCCAAGAGGACGGTCCCCTTGGGCCGGATAGTGTGGCCCGGCTTGTACACCTGGTAGGTACTGCGGCGGCCATCCACCCAGAAGGCAGCCAGCCCGGTACGGGACTCCCAGGTGAGGCAGAGACTTGTTCTGAAGGTGGTGATGGGCGGCAGGTGGAAGAAAGCGCCATCGCCGCTCAGGTAGAAGGCGACGCGGCCATCTTTCTCGCGCCACACGTTGAGCTCGTCGTAGTCAGGGGTGCGGTAGGCGAACAGGATGATCTGCCGCTCGCCTTCCAGCTCAGTGGCCACGCGCATACACAGCGTGAATGCGCGCAGGCCCATTTCCTTCTGGGGGATGAGCGCCACGAAGCTGAAGTCCGTCTCATACGGGAAGACCAGTACCTTCCTGCCCAGGCCAACTGTAAACAACACCACAAACAATACCAACAACAATAACATTATCATCATCATCATCTTAGAGCAGTCACTGGTGAAGATGACAATGGTATTGTAGCAAATTAACTGACTGGGACTTTAACCTGGGTTCCTGTGACTGTCAGTCCAACACCTTAACCGTTAGAGGTCCAAACCTCTTGACGGTCACTATGTTGTACCACGGTGACAGCAGTATAAAAACAGATTTACATGAGAGCAATTAGGACACATGACTTCTCTCTGAGAAGTGCAACATTGAAAAACATGAGTTAAAAGGGAATTTTTCACTTGAGGAATTTTTCACTTTTGTACGTTTACTTGAACAGAGTTTTTCTGGATTTTTTTGTTGTTATTCTGTCTCTCACTGTTCAAATAAACCTACCATTAAAATGATAGACTGATCATGTCTTTGTCAGTGGGCAAACGTACAAAATCAGCAGGGGATCAAATACTTTTTTCCCTCACTGTATGCACACGTAATGCTTTGAAAGTAACATGATATGAGCTATTGAATCTACTATTTGGGATTTTACCAACAACAATTGTATGACATTACTTTCTGTATCTTCAATAAAAAGTCATGTGATACAAATAAATAATCATAACTGGTAGTATCCTAAATTATTCATTATTTTCCATAGCCTACCAACCAAAACATACCTTCACTTGCTGAGGTGACACCGACGATACCCAGTAGGACTATTGCACTGGCAGCTATCTTTTCACTTGAGAGTATCTACCACAACAAATACATATCATAATGGCAAAAGATGCCACTACTACAGTCATTGTGAAAATAATAAATAGTAGTAAATACATAATATACTATAAACTGCATAGCCTGCTAACGAAATGCCTCAACACACACAAAACACTAACAGTATTGCTCTTACCATGTTGATTTAAGGTTGTTATTCCACTGAAAGGCCTTATGATGCTAGGTCACTGTCACGCCTGTCTATTCTTAACGCCATGGGACTCCTAGTACCAGATCATTACATCACTTCAATAGACGGGTGTGCTGACAATGGATCCAGTGTGTGTGACGGGGCTTGGGTCTGGGTGACACTGGTCTGTTTGTGTTGACTGACACACGTGTGCGGACGTGCACACACACTTTGGCTCCCATTCCGGAACATGTGATTGTGGGTGTGTGTGCCTATCAAGTCATGTAATGACTGTGTTTTGAGTTAGGGTGGCTTCTAAGGTTGAGCAACCTCATGGTCTCTTGTGTATGTAAGTTTTGTTTTGACCTTTACTGATTTCTGATTGACAGGTTGATTCACTTACATACCACTTTATTGTCCATTGAAGCGGAACTCGTCTTTTTGCAGTCTGCTTTTTAATTCCCAACCTCGGCAGGACACACACAGACCTCAGATGCTGGAAGCAGCTCATGCAGCACTCCTGGAGCAGGTTAGGGCAGTGCTTTTCAAACTTTTCCTAATCTTGATCATTTTTTTTGAACACTCACTTATAAAACGTGACCTGTGGAATGCTCATGGAATTTTGACTTGGGTGCACCAGTGCCGTTCAAATAAATACATTTAATAGCACATGGTTACATCTACACTGAGTGTACAAAATATTAGGAACACCTGCTCTTTCCATAGACTGACCAGGTGAAAGCTATGATCCCTTATTGGTGTCACTTGTTAAATCCACTTCAAATCAGTGTAAATGAAGGGGTGGAGACAGGTTAAAGAAGGATGTTTAAGCCTTGAGACATGGATTGTGTATGTGTGCCATTCAGAGGGTGAATGGGCAAGACAAAATATTTAAGTGGCTTTGAACAGGGTATGGTAGTAGGTGCCAGGCGCACCAGTTTGAGTGTGTCAAGAACTGCAAAACTGCTGGGTTTTTCACGCTCAACAGTTTCCCATGTGTATCAAAAATGGTTCACCACCCAACAGACATCCAGCCAACTTGAGACAACTGTGGGAAACATTGGAGTCAACATGGGCCAGCATCCCTGTGGAAAGCTTAACACCTTGTAGAGTCCATGCCCCAACAAATGTAGGCTGTTCTGAGAGTAAAAGGGTGTGCAACTCAATATTAGGAAGGAGTTCCTAATGTTTTGTACACTCAGTGTATATTGTTGATGTTTTAAATCCAGTGCGCTCAGGCATGTTGTTACATTTGAATAAATTGAGGGACACGCAATTTTATTCTGATTAGGTTTAGTTGTACCACAGCCTCTGCCATAGAAACAAACGGAACCTGGCTTTGTTTCCGTGGTTGCACCTTTACAATGCAGAAAACAATTAGTCTCTAGCTCAAACCGTTCAAAACGAGATACCTATTTTACCAGAGCTACATTTAATTTTTTGCACAGATTCATGGGAAGCTCTTAAAGGGGTACACACAAATGAATCATCATGAGTAAGGAAAAATGAAAATAGTTCAAATAAACCATATTTAATCCATAAAAAACATTTGTCGAAGAAAATAGATGATTTTGCAGTATGGTTGAGATGTGATGGAAGTAATTACCACTAAATAAATTAATAGGTACATAACAGCCTGAATTTTAAATGTATAAAATGTAGATAACATTTTTTTTTACGAAAAGCTAAAATGTCTTGAGTCAACAAGTATTCCACCACTTTGTTATGGCAAACCTAAATACAGTGAGGGAAAAAAGTATTTGATCCCCTGCTGATTTTGTACGTTTGCTCACTGACAAAGAAATGATCAGTCTATAATTTTAATGGTAGGTTTATTTGAACAGTGAGAGACAGAATAACAACAAAAAAATCCAGAAAAACGCATGTCAAAAATGTTATAAATTGATTAGCATTTTAATGAGGGAAATAAGTATTTGACCCCTCTGCAAAACATTACCTAGTACTTGGTGGCAAAACCCTTGTTGGCAATCACAGAGGTCAGACGTTTCTTGTAGTTGGCCACCAGGTTTGCACACATCTCAGGAGGGATTTTGTCCCACTCCTCTTTGCAGATCTTCTCCAAGTCATTAAGGTTTCGAGGCTGACATTTGGCAACTCGAACCTTCAGCTCCCTCCACAGATTTTCTATGGGATAAAGGTCTGGAGACTGGCTAGGCCACTCCAGGACATTAATGTGTTTCTTCTTGAGCCACTCCTTTGTTGCCTTGGCCGTCTGTTTTGGGTTAATGTCATGCTGGAATACCCATCCACGACCCCTTTTCAATGCCCTGGCTGAGGGAAGGAGGTTCTCACCCAAGATTTGACGGTACATGGCCCCGTCCATCGTCCGTTTGATGCAGTGAAGTTGTCCTGTCCCCTTAGTAGAAAAACACCCCAAAAGCATAATGTTTCCACCTCCATGTTTGACGGTGGGGATGGTGTTCTTGGGGTCATAGGCAGCATTCCTCCTCCTCCAAACACGGCGAATTGAGTTGATGGCAAAGAGCTCCATTTTGGTCTCATCTGACCACAACACTTTCACCCAGTTCTCCTCTGAATCATTCAGATGTTCATTGGCAAACTTCAGACGGGCCTGTATATGTGCTTTCTTGAGCAGGGGGACCTTGCGGGCGCTGCAGGATTTCAGTCCTTCACGGCGTAGTGTGTTACCCATTGTTTTCTTGGTGACTATGGTCCCAGCTGCCTTGAGATCATTGACAAGATCCTCCCGTGTGGTTCTGGGCTGATTCCTCACCGTTCTCATGATCATTGCAACTCCACGAGGTGAGATCTTGCATGGAGCCCCAGGCCGAGGGAGATTGACAGTTATTTTGTGTTTCTTCCATACTTATTTCCCTAATTAAAATGCAAATCAATTCATAACATTATTGACATGCGTTTTTCTGGATTTTTTTGTTGTTATACTGTCTGTCACTGTTCAAATAAACCTACCATTAAAATTATAGACTGATCATTTCTTTGTCAGTGGGTAAACGTACAAAATCAGCAGGGGATCAAATACTTATTTCCCTCACTGTAAGTTCAGGAGTAAAAATGTACTTAACAAGTCACATACGTTGCATTGACTCACTCTGTGTGCAATAATAGTGTTTAACATGATTTTTGAATGACTACCTCATCTCTGTACCCCACACATACAATTATCTGTAAGGTCCCTCAGTTGAGCAGTGAATTTCAAACCCAGATTCAACCACAAAGACCAGTGAGGTTTTCCAATGCCTCGCAAAGAAGGGCACCTTTTGGTAGATGTGTAAAATAAAAATAAAAAGCAGACATTAAATATCCATTTGAGCATGGTGAAGTTATTAAATACACTTTGGATGGTGTATCAAAACACCAAGTCACTACAAAGATACAGGCGTCCTTCCTAACTCAGTTGCCGGAGAGGAAGGAAACCGCTCAGGGATTTCACCATGAGGCCAATGGTGACTTTAAAACCCTTGCACAGTTTAATGGCTGTGATAGGAAAAAACTGAGGATGGATCAACAATATTGTAGTTACTCCAAAATACTAACCTAATTGACAAAATGAAAAGAAGGAATCCTGTACAGAATACAAATATTTCAAAAACATGCATCCTGTTTGCAATAAGGCACTAAAGTAAAACTGCAAGAAATGTAGCAAAGAATTTATCTTTACAGTGCATCGGAAAGTATTCAGACCCCTTGACTTTTTCCACTTTGTTACGTTACAGCCTTATTTAAAAATGGATTAAATCATTTTTTTCCCCTCATCAATCTACACACAAAACAGGTTTTTAGGAATTTTTGCAAATGTATTAAAAATCAAAAACGGAAATATCACTTTACATAAGTATTCAGCCCCTTTACTCAGTACTTTGTTGAAACACCTTTGGCAGTGATTACAGCCTCGAGTCTTCTTGGGTAAGACGCTACAAGCTTGGCACACCTGTATTTGGGGAGTTTCTCCCATTCTGCTCTGCAGATCCTCTCAAGCTCTGTCAGGTTGGATGGGTAGCGTCGCTGCACAGCTATTTTCAGGTCTCTCCAGAGATGATCGATCGGGTTCAAGTCCGGACTCTGGCTGGGCCACTCAAGGACATTGAGACTTGTCCCAAAGCCACTCCTGCATTGTCTTGGCTGTGTGCCTAGGGTTGTTGTCCTGTTGGAAGGTGAACCTTCACCCCAGTCTGAGGTCCTGAGCGATCTGGAGCAGGTTTTCATCAAGTATCTTTCTGTACTTTGCTCCATTCATCTTTTCCTCAATCCTGACTAGTCTCCCAGTCCTTGCCGCTGAAAAACATCCCCACAGCATGATGCTGCCACCACCATGCTTCACCATAGGGATGGTGCCAGGTTTCCTCCAGACGTGACACTTGGAATTCAGGCCAAAGAGTTCAATCTTGGTTTCATCAGACCAGAGAATCTTGTTTCTCATTGTCTGAGAGTCCTTTAGGTGCCTTTTGGAAAACTCCAAGCGGGCTGTCATATGCCTTTTATTGAGGAGTGGCTTCCGTCTGGCCACTACCATGAAGGCCTGATTGGTGGAGTGCTGCAGAGATGGTTGTCCTTCTGGAAGGTTCTCCCATCTCCACAGAGGAACTCTGGAGCTCTGTCAGAGTGACCATGGGGTTCTTGGTCACCTCCCTGACCAAGGCCCTTCTCCTCCGATTGCTCAGTTTGGCCGGGCGGCCAGCTCTAGGAAGAGTCTTGGTGGTTCCAAACCTCATCCATTTAAGAATGATGGAGGCCACTGTGTTCTTGGGGACCTTCAATGCTGCAGACATTTTTGGTACCCTTCCCCAGATCTGTGCATCAACAGAATCCTGTCTCAGAGCTCTACGGACAATTCCTTCGTCCTCATGGCTTGGTTTTTCCTCTGACATGCCCTGTCAACTGTGGGACCTTATTATGTCCAATCAATAGAATTGACCACAGGTGGACTTCAATCAAGTTGTAGAAACATCAATGATGATCAATGGAAACAGGATGCACCTGACCTCAATTTCGAGTCTCATAGCAAAGGGTCTGAATACTGTAAATAAGGTATTGGTTTTTTATTTTTAATAAATTCGCACACCAAACAATTACCTGGTCTGCTTCATCATTATGGGGTATTGTGTGTCGATTGATGAGGGGGAAAAAATGCAAAACTGAAGG